GGAATACTACGCTGCTGTAAAAAGGAAGGAATTCTTACCATTTGCAACAGCATGGATGGAACTGGAGAGCATTATGCTAAGTAAAATAAGCCAGTCAGTGAAAGAAAAATACCACATGATCTCACTCATTCATGGATAATAAAGACCATTATAAACTGATGAACAAAAATAGATACAGAGGCTGAGCAGCATTAAACAGACTGTCAAACTACAGCAGGAAGGCTGGGGAGGGTTGGGGGGAGTTGGGGGTGGGTAAGAGATCAACCAAAGGACTTGTATGCATGCATATGAGCATAACCAATGGAAACAAGACACTTGGGGGGTAGGGGAAGCTGGGGAAAGGTCAAGGGGGGAAAAAAAGACAAATGTACTACTCTTTGTAATATTTTAAGCAATTAAAAAAAAATAGACAATCCTGTCCTGGGCCCCCCTGCAGGGCATGGCCCATTTCCCAGAGGGTCAGACTGAGGCCCAGGCAGCTGCTCTGCTCCAAAGCCCCCTCCATCTCCCTTAGGCCCTGAGCCTCCTCCTTCTGAGAGGCTGGCCCTGTGCCCCCCCCCCCCATCTCCCTTAGGCCCTGAGCCTCCTCCTTCTGACAGCCCTGCCCTGCGCACTGGGGCAGCCCTTGTGCAAAGAGGGGGAGTTCCAGAAGGGGGCCTTGTGCTGCCCCAAGTGCTGGCCAGGTGAGTGCAGCTCTGCAGGGCCCCTGGGGGCGCCGGGGGCAGGGCTGTGCTGGGGGCAGGCATTCGCCCTCCCCTGGCCTGGAGCCCCTCTGCTCCCAGCACCCCTTCATGGGAGGCCTGAAGGCCCTGGGCACACAGGGCACCTCCAGCTTCCCCCGCGCCCCAGACCGTCAGCCCCCTGTTCAGGGCGGGGCTTGGGGTGGGCAGCCCATTTCAGGACAGGAGAGGGCGTCTCAGAGCCAGGCCTCTGTGTCCCAGGAGGCCCCCAACTTCCAGAAAGTTCTCCTTCCTGCCAAGCGGGCTCACTGGCCTGGGGAACAGCCCAGGTGGGGTGACCCCTGGGGGGATGTCACACCTGCCCAGGCTTCCAGGGGCCATCCCACCATGAGTGTGTGCCCGCTTGGCTGCAGGCTACCGGGTGCAGGAGGCCTGCGGGGAGTTCAGGGGCACAATGTGTGTGGCCTGCACGCCGGGCACCTACACTGCCCACCTCAACGGCCTGCCCGAGTGTCTGCCGTGCCGCGTCTGTGACCCAGGTGAGACCAGGAGCCCCTTGGGTCTCGCCTCTGCGTCCGGCAGCTCCGGGCCTATGTTCCGGCTGAGCCTGGGCTGCGGCCGGCAGGGA